TTTGGTGGAGTTGTCAACGGGAAACCTCGGTGCATACGACACCGACGCACCCTGACACCCACTTACACAACGTCCCCGTTCTTATGAAAAAGCAGGGTCTAATTAATCGGGTAGCGTTTCTCCCTTGGCTCAATGACTTGCGCTCTACTGAGGATGGTCCATTATGTTTGCTGTGTAGATCACGCAAAGTACGAGGGAAACCTGACAATCGTTCCTCTCGTTAACGACAAGCTTGTGTCCCAGACACCGGGGCCAACCTCACTCTCTAATCATGCTCCACGGTGTCTATGCCTACACTAGTAACGACACCGAGGCACTTCTGGCCGAGATGCTAACCCAGTTCTCCTTGACTCGGTGCCACTCTCACCTACCTACCCAGAGCGTGGTGGATGCCATCGGTGCTTCAGTGGAGGGCGCCACTTGTCTTCGGCACTGAGATGTATGTTGCCCGCTGCGATATCGCAGGTGGCGTCAGCTTGATTTTAGTGGTAAAATCATCCCACGTTCCTTTTTTTTCCCAAACCATCGTGGAGCTCAAATCGGTGACGATACGGCTGATCCGTACGACTCTGACGGAAACCGCTCTGTGCCCTCGGGTTCCGGACCTCCTCTAGCCAGTAACATCATGGCGACACGTTTCTGCGTGCCGCTTATACTGTCTACGATCTCGAAAGCACGAGGTCGCTATCGCTGAAGCACGGCTACAATGTTACCGACTCGGACATCGACGTAATTGACACCCGCGATCCCCAGTGCTACGTCGGCTGTCTCTTACTCTCGACTTCGTTCAGTACTAGTGTTGAGCCTATGTCACCGACATACACGAGCATGGCCACGCCTTGGCCCACGAGCTCGGAAACCAGCAGAACTGCAGCACGCACGACTAGCAATATGACTACCTCTCATCTGTATTAACAGCTTCCACCTACGAAAATGCCACAAACATGTCCTTCTGTGGCATCCTCTGCATCGTCGACTAATGAAACCGCAACAAGCAGCAATTCTTCGTCGACTTCCTCCACTTTGCAAAGCACGTCCAAATCTAGCACCATGACCACATCGGCTCCTCAACGTCCGGCTCGTCCTCTTCAACTGGGTCGGCAAGCACACAGGCAGCTACACTTCCTCTGCAAGATCCAGCACGTCGCAGGCTTCGACGTCGGATCCTCTTCGACGTCGGGATCCTCTTCTAGCCAAAACGAGGCATTCGGTCTGCGCCCGGTGGCTGGTGATTCTAGTAGTAGCGGGTCTGCTATAAACCTAATTAAGTAATCTTAGAAGAATAACCTGTGCTCATTTGCTGAAAGCACCCTTGATCTTGGTTACAAGTTTGTCTTCATACTGCCATGGCCTCGAAGCCCTTGTCCTTAGTGCGCGCGACGACGCACCAGCTGGGACTCATGACGGGGGCAAATATCTCGTCCTTCTTAGTGTCTGGGCTTTCTGTTGCTCGTTCTTCACGACCTCTTCTACTCCATGTTTGGCAATCAGTGCGGATAACGATGATTTGGGACCTTATATACTAAAATATGCATACAGGAGGCCGACTGCAGCCCCAAAAAATACGAGGTGTGGGATAATAAATCCATTGATAACGTCGCGATCTAGGGTTTGTATTTTTTTCAAAGAATATTATCCCCTGGTAATAACGAGATAATTGCACCTTGTATCTCACAAACATACAATAGCGTTACATGCGGGTTCATGCAGATAAGAATGACTGTTACTCCGATAGCCGGAGATGCAGATCACGCAACTAATTTACGTGCACCAGGTCTCAACCAAACACCAACCTTACAGCCTAGATTCTGATTGATGCTCCCTTTGGTGGTATGGCCCCCACGAAGATATAAAATCCGCGCCGAGGACAGATTTGGACTACTTGAGTCCAAAAAGGTCAACCGGGAATTGAACCCGGGACCCTCGCACCTAAGCGAGAATTATACCACTAAACCATCGGACCGTAACTTGCAAAAGATTCCGCTCTAGACAATATAAATGTATGGGGCTGTATAAATGTAGGTCTACAAAAATAATAGATAAATCGGAATCAAGGTCAATAAAAAATTGCAAGTGCGTGTTCCGTGTTGCCCACTCACCACACTTGTGTGTTTTATAAAGGTCGAAAGTCCCTGAGTCGTTATGGACGCAGTGGAGTTTAGACCGGCGGGACGTAATATCTTGCCGGGTCGCATCTGGGATGCCGTTTCGATTAGCTGCACAGTGCTCTCGTCCCTGGTGTTTCTTTCATGCCTGCAATACCAACCTGGAGGTTGTGAAGGTCGATCACTGCATACATTTTTTTCAAAATATTTCTCCAAAAACGTAGTACAGCCCATACGAGGCCATCGTGAAGATGCAGGCATCACTTCCGTCTTCGAAGTAATATGCGGTGTTATTTCAACATTGGCTGTCAGAAAGTCGGAAATTGTGTAATTTAACTGCCACACCACTCACATGAAAGTAGAAACGTTCTGCCTGGATACGCAGGATGAGAAATATGTTCCCGTGTCATTATCTTCTACCATGTTTGAATGTATTGGCGATGTAGGTCACCACATTTTCGGGTAGGTATGTGTAATTGAGGTGTGTGAGAGCATTACGGCACCGAAAATTGAAGATAGCATGCCGACGTCCCCGTTCGTTTCGGATGTATCGTTGCCAGTACCGACTATTAGTTCAAACACATCGCCCGTATTATTGGGCGGGGCTGACCAAGACGCAGAGGAACTAGACCAGATAGGAGTTTCGTAGTTGTCGCGGTGACGGTGACGTTTGACGCGTTGGCCCTATTCTCACGAAGGTCGCGCCTGACATTCACAAACTCAGCAAAGATTCTGAGGTTGTATTTTGGTCGAACGAGACAGTGATCCCGTGCATCATGATTCGTACCGCCAGTGGGTTCGACCGTGGATCTGATCAGTTCCAGTAGCACCGGGAAAGTAATCTACAATCGCACGAGGGTTATGGGTGAATCATAGACTGCGCCATCCACGCACCAAAGAGGACTTTGTCAATGCCGGTGTCCTGGTCCCTCCAAATGGAATATGATACCGAAGAGCTGTAGCCTTGCTTATGCAGAAAACCGGGATATTTTCGTAAGTCGGCGACACCACGCCGTTTTCCCATGTAGGCGCCGATGCTTTCACCATTCATTGGCCAAGCCCTATAATACAGCCGTCAAAGTCGCCCGTGACTACCCCAAGGGTCACGTTGTCCATAACCATGTTACCGATGGTGATGGTGTCCGTCCCCCAGTAGCCCGAGACACCGTTACCGATAATCTGCGGGACAGCAGCTGACTGGAGCGGCGCAAAACTAGACGATCCCGTATAATTGAAGCCCCCGTTATCTCCTCGTCAGACAGACTCACGACCCAGAAAGTCGCTCGAGGTGATATCCAGCGGGCAATTAAAGCTCTCGGGCGGCGGCCCACCAACAACCACCTGAGCGAGGTGTTACTAGAGACGATATTTGAAAATCCCGTGCCGTCGAGTCCCCGCAGCGCAGCTCTGGTTCGAACACCATGACGCGGCCCACCCCTGCCAGTATTGGGCCCGTCCTGAGCAGATCGGTGGATCGAAAGTACAATCAGCCAAATTCAAGCCATGTTGACTTTTTGAGGTGACACCGGCAAAATGGGGCGGCAAATGATGAGGAGCCCTCCTTGGTAAAAATTCCCCAACGCATTGTACCACGTTAGACAAAGTCACCACAAACCCCCACTTTGATGCACGCGCTGTCCTCAAGGAGCCTCCCGGCCAACAAGCCAGGAAATCACGCCAAGCTATAATCAGGCCCGTTACCGTGGCCGGGCGTGTAGAGCAGGACAGCCCCCACAATCACTTGGGCACCTCGATCCCCAACCCTTTGACATTGAATCGACGCACAAAGATATAGCACGAACCACGCGAGTCCCGAGAACTGGGGTTTGCTAAACTTATGGGTGGAAGCCCGCGAGAAAACAGGGTTAGAGTACCACATATCAGCCTCGACATCTGCATATGCAGACCAAACGGTCAATGGTCCTCACCTTCCCGCGCCATCATGGAAGGCTATGGCATTGTCTTTCGGGGCCACTTATAACCTGACTCGTTTACTGGGATATATTCTGCTGGGGGTCCCCACGGCCTATCCTATACAAAGCATGCAGTCCCAGAAGCGAGTCCCTATACTTCTGCAGAGTCCATCAGTCCCCGCACACCGGTCACGCTTACAAACAACCTCCCCTTTTTCCGCCCCAGCCTAACGAATAAGCCCCAATTTGAACTGCATTTACCCGCCCACCTTCAGACCCATTTTACCAAATGACTTGCGCAGCGCATCGACAATTGCTTGGCTGTCCGTCCCCCCAGTACCCGGGTCCGATAATTTCAAGACAAAGCTGACGGGGCGGATCAAACTAACAAGTCCGCATAACTGAAGCCCCCGCTGCCTCTGTCGTAGACACACTATTTGGCCCGTCCTGAACGTGGCTAGGTGGAGCGCGCAGATAAAGCACACAGAGGTCTACGAACCTAGCTAAATTCAAACTCTTGGTAACGGGCCGGCCACCGGCAAATAAATACACGGCAGCGGATGTAGGATTCTCCTTGTACCACACCCGCAAATCATTGACCACGCCAGGAGCGCCGTGATTATCCCAAAAACCGGCCGGCCTTTTGGTGCAGCCGCTGCTGCCAAGAACTCGCCGAGGGCCAGCCAGGAAACACCCCTCCAAGACTATGAACATGCCCGAGAATGCACTGTGGACTTGAGCGTGCAGAGCGCCAGCCGAAAGTAAAAATGCCCGCCAAGCCAAGAAACCCACGGCGCTGCCGAACTGTACCGGTCCACACACCGTATCGAGTAGTAAACGCGTCCTGGATCCCGAACGATGGGAGAAGATACAGGCGTACGAGAGCCAAAACCCCCCGTAGCTGGAGAAGCAGTGCCCACCAAAGGGTTTCTCCCACCGCAAACTCCCACATGCCGGCCAGCAACTACCACCCGCCGACATCCCAGCCCAAACCACATTGGGTTCCTGTCACCCACCCTTGACGTTGTAGACCGACAGGACAAAGGGGTGAGGGCGAACCCCGAAGTCCCAGAGGACTGGGTTGCAAACTTATGAGTGGAGACCCCGCGAGAGACCGGGGTTTTAGCGTAACCACCATATGCGCCTCACGTCCAAACATGCACCCGCGAACGGCCAATGGTAAAATAGTTGTCGGGGAGTCGGGCACAACCAAGGTGGGGACCCTCCTCAAGGCCCGCTGCGTTCACCGCTCCTTTTGGACTTCACCTTGTACCGACATATTATGGAATCAAACCGCGGGGTGGGGTACGGCCCATCTTATATAAACATGCAGTCCCAGTAAGCGATCCACACCCTCGTGCAGACGCCAGCAGCCCCGATATCCCACCGGTAGTTGGGCAAACGATCGCGCGTGTCCTATGCGGTATTTCAGTCTAGAAAATAACTGGTTTGCCTCATATCCTCTCTACCCCTAACCAAGCTTGCCACCGAAGCATGCCCTCCAAAAATAACGAGCACCCATTTTGTTTCTGGCCGCCCTTGCGTCTTACTCATCCACGGGGATCACCTGACATGGGGGGACCCACATTTAATCGTGGCACGTGCCGCGTGTTGTAACTACAACAAAACACCCAACCATCCATCCCTGCAACCTCAACTTCGTTTACAATGCTCTATGCAGATGTATCGAGACCCGCAAGTGAAGGACTTACACTCACAATGCAGAAGATGAAAACAGCATTTAAAAGCTCAATCACGCTTATAAACAACCCCTCTTCTGCCCCCACAACCTCAACTGCATAATGCATCGTGAATTTTGCGGGGTGCCGCCAACTGCGTTTACCCCCGCCCTTCTCCTGATCCATTGTTGTAATACTAAGATGACTTACGCAGTGCATCGATAATTGCTTGGCATAGGTCGGAGAATGCACGTTGGGTGACGGGTGCAAGGGACATTTCTAATAAAAAAACAAAAACTAAGTAGAGCTCTATCAATGATGAACGGAATCTTCTGTAGATCCAGGAAGCTGCCGTCCTGCCTCGCGCTTTGGAGGTGTCGTAGCACGCACCAACCCGATTTGCACCCTCACTGCTTGCGAGAATGCTAGCCCCGCGTTGCTTGCCATACGCTGCACCTTGACGCAACCTTCCGAATTTGCTTTTTTGGAACGGTCCATACGGGGCTGGTTGTCCGCAATATGGAACTTTTGGATCTCTTGAATGAAGTGGTAAACTTGCGGCTGAAACATACGACGGTAATGGTTCCAAGCAAATCGCGTACCATGCAGCCGCGGTACCAGTAGAATAAATGCCCATAATACCGCAGATGTATACAAATTGCTCAATACACCCGCGATATTCGTTTGAGACGCCAGTGAGAGGCGCGGCAATACTGTAAGGAGGGAAAAATGCGAGCCAGATCAATGCAGATCCGGGGATCGCGACCACAGTGAACCGATTCCACATTTCGTCACCAGGCCCGCCTTGGCTAAAGCAGTGAAAACACAAGCATAAATTAGCGGTGCCCCAAGTCCAGAGGTTGGCCACAAGCCCATCGGAAACTCGTTTCCCTCCGTAGAACACTCCATACGAAAAGAAAAAAATAATGACGAGTGGTAAATGCCATTGACAATCCTTGCCAGAACTGGTCACATTCAAGAAGGCTCCATTTTGACCGAGTCGGTAAAGCTGCGGATACCTCAACAGATCCGGGCACTCACAAAATTGATCAAATATACCGAGACAAAACGGAGGCAAGGCAGTGCAGATCACGTTGTAAAAGTCATTGTCCAGGCCTCGTAGTATACCTTGACCCAGAGAATCCGTTGAAAAACACGTACCAAAATTGTGTCAGGTACAGTGCAATATTTTTGTAAAAAGATACAGGATCGCTCGAACTCAGTCGATTGTAGCTCCAAGAACCGTGCACCAGAAGAAGCCGCTGG